TTTTTTAATCAAATTTAAAATTCTGTACTAAACGCTGTACGATACGCACACGCAAGTCAGCGTGCCGATTGGCTAGCGTATGTCAGATGATCACTCCTCAACTTATTATTATCACTTTGCCCGACTAGGTGATAGCAGTATTCATAATGACCGGTCAATTTGATAAATGAATCAATATTTATCACACTGCCCTCCCTATTTGGTCATTATTCATAATGCCCGGTCATTATGAATAATGCCCAATTAATCACTTTGTCCATAACATATATATATATATATTGAAATCTGAGCTGTGTTAAGTTGGATCAACACTCTAGCTATAACATAACATAAGCATAAATATAAACATAATAGAAATAGTTAAAGCGTGGTCTGTGGAAATGGAAATTGCACTCAGCCCAGTAAATTTTTTTTATGATAGAACACTAATAGGAATTTAATTTTTTTGTCCTGTAAAAGATGAAAAATGAGCAAAGTTTGCCTTTTCTAATGTTTTTCTGGTACAATGAATGTGAATAAGTACAATATCATGAAAATATAAAACATAAAAACAAATATTTAAGAAACAATCTTTATTTTCTCTCAGTGATCAAAAACAGTAAAAGAAAACAGTAGGTACAGTACATTATTTCAGTGATTATTCTATTTCTCTTGGATTTTTATTGGTACATACATTTGTGCAACTTTGAATGTGGTAGAAGTTTTATTAAGTTCAAAAGCTGATGAGCATATAAAATGGCATAACATGATTAGAAAAAATCATTCAGACCATGTGTTGCAATTTTACAACATACCTAAAAACTGAGAAATGTTTTTTAACAATTCAGATAAAATTATATTAAATAGCCATCATATTTGTGCCATTTTGTTCATAAAAAGGACTATGGCGAGTGTGATAATTTGCGCCCACTATTGTGGTGCTTAATGTATTAATTCTTTTTCTCACAATACAGTATTTTACATGCTTAATGCATAAAAATATTAACAGTAATTTAAGTTGCAATGATGATAGTTGATGCAATCACTCTATATGATTAATAGATACTAACACTAATTGGTGTTTTAAATTAAACAGTTTGAAGTAAATAAAATAATTAATAATCTTATGAATCATTTGATATCACTAGCCAAGACATTGCTGCTCAACTTAAATGAATGTTAAAAGCTTTATTTGTACAGAACTATTGATAAACTGGGAATTATCATGCACCATATTTTTATGCAGCTAGCCTTAAATCAAGTAATGTTTAAAACTTAAAAACAATAGTTAAGATTGGCAGTAAAAACTGATCATGGTTGTGTTCTCAAACTTATATTTTACTGTTTGCATGTATTTACTACTGTATATATCAAGAAATTGATTTGTTTACTTGTTTCATTTAATGCAAGGCACCAACACATTTTAGGCTATGCCCAGCCACAATATTATGACCATCATGAGCAACACAGAGTAACAATACCTAGGAAAGGAGTTAGCTGTTATGAATGAGGATGGGGGAATTAATGGCCTATACGGCCAATAATAAATTGTGATTCTGATTGTCACATGACAATATGAAAACACTTTACTGTGTGACCATCTGGCTGACACAAGATATCTGAAATTTTAAATTGCCCTTTGGAATAAGTATAAAAAAAGTATTTGCCTAGAATTTTTAATCTATATTAATAATCAGATTCAGAAGATAAGAATAAAGAAAATGAAAATTATTAATAGTTTTGTAAAATATTTAATCTATTTTTTAATTTATGGATATTTGAAATGTAAAGATGTAGCAAAATACTGCTTTACACACAAAAAAGAGACTTTAACAAGGATGCAATTTGAAGGGGCCCTTCAAATTGCCCCTTCAAATCTCCACCATCCTGGTGGAGAATTCCCTTTCCATGTACAAAAAAGACGAAGTATTCTAATCTTGGACAGCTTCTTTCCTCCTCTTATCAAATCAATGTTGAAAATTTTACAATTTTGCAACACTACAAGTTTGATTTTACACAAACTACAAGGATGATTTATAAGTGAAATTGTATAATCATCATTTATGATATCTAATTTGTATGGATTTTTCCAACACACCACATGGAGTACATACATGCAGTCAGCAGCCATTTTGGCTTATGACTGTGTGTATGTACTCCATGTGGTGTCTGCTTTTCAAAAGTGAACAAAGCAAAAGAAAAGAGCATTAATCTAGTGCTGTCAGTACTGGTTGACAGCAATGTTTAGGAATGCCTAAGATACATATTTCTAGATGATCTCTCCCTGATCTAGAAACAGTGGAGTGTTTCTTAGTAGTGTCCTTTTGATTTTTATGCATGTTTTAGAAAGATTCTAAAATTGTTTCAATACATGTAGACCAGCTGCAATTTTATTTCACACTGCAGTAGTACTACCACCATGATCTTTGTGTCATCTCCTATAATACTAAAATGAGATACTATAGTAAGCTTACTGCACAGAGTGATCATTCCTTTTCTCTAGAAATTGCACACTGCCTTTAACAGACATTGTTTTGTTGCATCTTTACACATTGGTAATGCTAATTCTTGTGCTTGCAATCTTGATCAAAGATAAATTTCTTTCAGTTTCATCGAAATGAAATATATTTTCTCCCTACAGGTTTCTGTTTTTATTTGTGTTATATATACTATATTATGACTTTCAGATGTAATTTACTTATATAATAATTAGATAATTCTGTTAAATTGTAATTATTGTTATAATTAGTTTTTAAAATTTTACAGTTAAAAATAATTTTTTATAAAATTATCATCAGTTTTTTATTTGGCATTATTTTCTTTGATATTTATAGTTGTCATCATCATCATTAAGAAATTAATATTTATTTATATTATTATTAATAGATAACATAAATATTGAAAACAGTTTGGAAATTGAGATTGAAGGTCAAGAATCAAATTTTTCAAAATTTTCTATTGAAGGTAGATTTTATTTCATATACAGTATTTAAAGTTTCATTTTCTAATGCTCCTATTCTGAAATTATTTGTTTACAAAAATAGATTTAAATAATGTTGAAGACAAATTAAAGATTGACAATAAGAAATTGGATGTTCAAAGAAATTCAAGTGATGGTAATAAACTGTATACATTTCTGTTTTTATTAAATGCTTTTATTTAACTTGCTTTGCATTATGCCCTCATATTTCATCCATTTCTAATTAAGATAGAAGCCTAAAACTTTGAGGACATACCCAAGTCCAATAAAAATGCATTTTAGTGGGGTGATGTTGGACCATCCCACTCCGCAATAACTTAATTGAAGAATTAACAATGCAAAAATTTAATCAATGATATTGTTTATAAATGATATTTTAGGTATATATATGTAAATGCATTATAGTAATGATCACATTACTATAATGCATTTACATGATGTATATGGTGAGGGTGGCTCAACAACCAACATTTGTAAGTTTTTAAAAAGTTGTTTTTTATATATATATATATTATAATGAAGTACTAAATTTAAAAATTATAGTTGCAAATAATATAACAGAAGCAGATGATAGAAGATCATCAAATATTAATAATTCAGATATGGGAAGAGAATTAGAATCTCCTCTTCCTAGTGATTCAGCATCTGCTGCATCTGAACTTGTATTTTCTGCATTGTCTGCCTCTAGTGATGAAGAAATGCCAAAATCTAATCAGTAGGTTTTTTTTTAAAGTCCAAGAATTTATTACATAAAACTTCTAAATATTTTGTATAATTAATTAGTTTAAAATCATTAAACAAAAATTTATTCTATATATTGTATTTTNTTTAAATTTATTTAATTTAAAATTGTAGTACAGCATTGTGATGATAAATAATTTTCACTTATTTTTTTTTTCTTACCTGTAAATTTTAGTTTGTTAAATAATATAGGTACTAATTGATGTCTTGCTTGTTTTTAAAAATAAAAAGATTAAATTAGACTGTTTCTTTTTGTTGTATATTGGTTTACTTGGTTTTAAATTGGCTTACAATAAAAAATTTAGATAAAAGCTGAGGTGCATCAATATGAGCAAAGTTCATTCCTATTCTAAAAATATCCATTATAAGAATCAGAACTTAATTTATTATTATTTCTTTCTAGAAATTATTACATTAAATACTTTTAGATAAATATGGAGCAAAACTATGTTATTTTCATAAATAAAAAGATGATTAATTCTTAAATTTCACAGACAGTTTGCGTATATTCAATGTAATAACAACTCTACAAGGACTGCTGGATGGGCAAACAGTAAAGTGTTAGCCTGCCATGTTAGGTTGGATCTCCAAAAACTTTTCCTGGATAGTTTAACTCAGTGTTTTTCAACCTGTGGGTCAGACCCACAGGGAGGTCACAAAGCCATACAAGGGGGGTCGCGGGTAAAAGAAAAAGACAAGTGTTCGTAGGTCCTACACTAAAATAAAAAAACCTACAATTTCAGTGAGAAGGCTGTGCCTGTTTATTTTACAGTACAGTTGGTTTTTTTTTATCGATATTTAAATCTCTACAGAAAGAAAATTAAATACTTACAGTAGTTTTTAAAATCACTGACATAGTTTTAATTTGGCCATGGAGGGTCGCAAGAATTTTTTAACTTGTAAAGGGGTCTCGTATTCAAGAAGGTTGAAAAACACTGGTTTAACTGGATATGTTGGGCCCTATCCCACACCCTAGCTCCCCATTATAAGCTGGTCAAACTCTTGCTGAACATGGAAAAGGCCCTCAGTGCCTGGAAAGTAGAAACAGGTAAAAACAAATATATAAGGCCATACATACACACATACCAGTTTAATAGAAAAAGAAATAGTTTACATTTAGTGTATGAAGTTTTTGGATTTAGACAATTCTTAATTTCATTGTCTGTAAATATGAAAAAGTATTTAAAAGTTTACATGTTAACCATCAAAATATGTGACTGAAAATTAACCTAAATCCTCATTTATTTCTTAAAAATGGTGTTCTACAAATATGTCAATTTAACTCATCTGATATTGTATTTTAAGCTATAAAACAAAAAATAGATTGCAATTTTTATTTCAGATTTTACACCTAAGTATGCAAAAATAAGAGGTTATGAAAAAAGTTTTTTTAAATGAAATTGAAGTTGAAATACAATGACATATTTTTAAACAAAACAAAAATAAGTATTTACAATTTACATTATCAACTTATAATATTTTTTTTGTTTGAATTATTTAAAAAATTTTTCCTGGTCAATATGAGCAAAGTTCATTCTTATAAAGCATGGTTTTTTCATCTAATTCAAAGTGTTTAAAACAATGTTTTTGGTTCTTTCTGGCTCATTTTGAAGCACTTAATGTTTAATATTGTTCCTTTCTCTTTAAGTTGCACAAGTACAAATATATAAGGCCATACACACATAGATACATACATACAATGTATATGCAAGTCTCTGAAGAGGAGTCAAAAAAGCTTGAAAACATTTAAGTATTACTGATTTTTTCTTGTAACTTGAAATATACTTATAATGGAATTGAAAAACTAATGCAAATTAAAGAACAAAAATTATAAAACTAATAAACAGTAATAAAAAGTTATTTGGTAATTTAAATAAGTAATTACCAGTGATCAAAATAAGTGAATTCTACTGTATTAATATAGGTAAATCTCAATAACTGAATGATAATATTTAACAGCATACATAAATAAGACTACAATTAGTGGAAAAAATGATTATTGACTTTCACAGTAAAAGAACTTGTTAAAACAATTTAATAAATTTTATTTATACATTCTTTATAATAATCTATATATATAAAAATGAATGTGTGTGTGCGTGTGTGTGTGTGTGTGTCCTTCATGCATTACCACACCGTTTATCCGATTGCCGTGAAACTTTGGGAAGTTGTTTAATATACCGATTACATAGTACGATTGCCATAAAACTTCGGAAAGTTTTTTAATACACTCCCACGAAGGTTTTTGGCATAGTACATTTATCCTAAGATAGATGGCGCGCGTTTACACGAGCATTCGAGCACAGTGTGTCCGATCGATTTCAAATTGTGAAGACCATTTCCCCCTTCAGAAAATATCTCTATATATGCATCTGTGAACTGCTATTTACGATATTCGTAATAATGTTTGTTTAATCACTTTATTTCAACTTTTTTTGCTAATTACGTATTCGCTCGAACTTTGTTAAAACTTTAACTGTATACCGAACAACAACCAAAGTTGTAGAAGGAAATTCGCCTATTTTACCGATCTAGGGATCCCCTTTTCCAAATTTTAATATCATCTAATAATTTAAAAAGACAAATTACAATAAAACGGTTTATTATCCAACTATCAGAAATTTCACAACATGCCAAGGAAGAGAGGAAGGAGCAATTAAATAATTAAAATTATAAAGGATTTAAAAATATATATAAAAATG